CTGCTCGACTGTACACAGCAGGCCCTGAGTGTCACAGTGCTGTTAACCGTAGTCTTACTTTCGTGTCTCTCTCCCCTTGCTTAGCCTGTGTCCTCTCCTAGGACCTCCTTCTGTTTCTTTCTTGATGACGCTTTAGCCCCCAGAGTTCCACAATAAAATCCTTCCCTGGCTCCATTCCCTCTATCCATGGCTCTGCCTGGAAGAGGTACAAAACCCATGGCCTGGTATCTCTGCCTTATGTTTTGGCCCTCTGAGGACCCTGGACTGCTCCCAAGGGTCCAGTGAGGGGTCCTGTTGTGAAGGTCTGTATCAGGCCCCCAAGAGGCTGCTGCCCTGTGCTCTGTCCCACCCAGACATCTGGAGCTTCCGATTCTTGTCGTGCAGTTATGTTACTGGCAAAACCCAAGAGACAAAGCTGGCTGGTGCCACAGTGGGGCCGGGCTGTGAGAGTGGATTCCCACTCCCCTGAACACTTACCAAGTACTGTGCTAATCACTTTGCAAAAGCTCTATCATCAAATCCTTATAGTTGCTTTGGTAGAAGCTGTTAGTGTCTTTAGTGTCTTCATTTTACAGGCAGGAAGACTGAGGCTTAAAGTGGTGAAATAGTTTATCTGAGACCCCACATTAAGTGGTAGCGATGGGGTTCAAACCCAGATTTCTCTGCCCTCAGAGCCCATGCCCAAGCTCACCTCCCTCCTCCTTTGCCTGGTTTAATCCAACTTCTGCCCAAGTCAGCTCCCCTTCTTTGACTTGTCCTGTGAACCTGCTTCCCATTACGCACTTAGTGAGCAGATTTATTAAGCACCTGCTGTGCGCCAGCAAACATACCAGACCAGTGGGGCCTCTTTTGTCCTTTTCTCTTCCTGAGGCTCACTGTGGGTCTGGACTTCCTAACTTCTCTGAGAGTCAGCCAAGCTGTTTGTTTTTGTCCCCTAAACCTGTGACATTGGCTAGGAAAGCTCTGGTGTGCCAGGTGGCCACATTCTTCCAGAAATTCACTCCTCAATCCCTTTACTCTTTGGCCCAATCTTTACTCAGGCTTGAAATGAACCTGTTGAAGCAGTGATTTCTCAGATCTCCCTTTGTCAAAAATCATTTGTAATGTGCATTGATCAGGGTTCTTTAGTGACATGCAGCAGAAGCCAACTCTAGCCAAGCTCTTAAGCAGGAAAGGGATTTATTAGGGAGCTGAAGGTGAGGCAGAATGGTGAGACTGCCAGGCTGACAGGGCCAGGGCCACCCATAACTGGGTACAGGGGTTCAGATTCCCAAGGCAGCATATGATTGGCCAGGCTGAGTCAGGTGACCCTTATCAAAAGAAGGTGGGGCATCTTGATTGACAGCCCTGTTGGAAGCTAGATGGGAATCAAAACTGCGCTTCCATTCTGGCCTACTGGGGAGAAACAGGAAGGTCTAGCAGTGAGCCCAGCCGTGAAGATCGACACCTACTTCCCCAAAGGCCCTGGAGGGACACACAGACCATCAGCAGGAGAATCTCCAGGTTGGAGGCCTGACATGCTTGACGAATTCCCCAGGGGACTCTGGTGTGCTGCTACCTAGGAGCCAGCCGAGATGCTCCAGGACCTCCAGTTGTCCTGCCAGGCCCACTTGCCTGGATCCAGCCCAGCCCTCACTGCCTCGCCTGTAGGTGCCTCACTTTCCCCACCTACAAAATGGGGCCACAGCAGCACCTGCCTCATCATGTGGTGGTGACAAGAATCCGTGCAAAGAGATTGGAGCTGACTGTGGCCACAGCGTCTGAGCACCCCACACACACCTCTCCTCACTCAAATTCAGGAACCGAGGGGCAGAGGAGCGTGGGGGAAAGTGGCCTGCAGCCCATGTCTACCCTGCCACCAACTGTCTGCCAGGTTTCGTGGACATCGCCGGACCCTGGCCTTCCCATATATATACCGGGATGGGGAGCTGTGGGACCAGTTCAGCTGACAGGTCCCTCCCCAGTGGGACTTTCTGAGCTAGAATCCTCAGCTCCCAGAGCGGTGGTAGTTTGAGACGAGATTATTGGCCTAGGGCCAACATGAAGCCACACCCTGTCCTCAAACTCTATGAGGGTCACTTTGTGGACAGCCAGCTCCCAGCAAGGCGAGCTCTGCTGTACCCGCTTCTCTCAGGGTAGCAAGCCATGCCATGTGCTTCGCCCTACGTAGTGCTGTGCACACCTTCCCTCCATGGGGCCTCACAACTACCCTCCGTGCATGGCCCATCTGCAGACAGGAAAACAGAGGCCCTGAGCCATCCGCTAGCTGTCCAGAGGCCATGTGGCCAACAGGAGCTAGAACTGACACCTGACCCTAAGTCATGCAGCCTCTCTCAGTGACTCGATCTCCCCAGTAGTCCCTCCTGGGAAGCAGGACTTGTTACACTGTTCTCACTCTACAGGCCAAGAAACCAAGACTTGAGGGACTTAGGCCCAGAGTTGAATTTCAGATTGTGGGAGCTTAACAACCATCTTCTACACCAACAAACAAGGCAAAAAGCAGGGCCTTAAAACCTCCCACAGGCTGGGCATTTAGCTCAGTGGTTCTGCCGCCTGCCTCACATGCTCAAGGTCCTGAGTTCGATCCCCAGTACCAAAAAAAAAAAAGAATAGGTAATTTTGGGCCAGGGATTTAGCTCAGGGGTTCTCCTGCCTGCCTTGCAAGCGCAAGGTCCCGAGTTCAAGCCCCGGTACCAAAAAAAACCCACAAACCTACCACACCTGTATCAAGGCCTCCCTCCCCCTGTCCCACTGGCCTCACTGGGGGCCACTGAGGCAGCTTCCCAGGACAGGGCACACAAGCCAGCCACAAATGACCCAAGGGCCTCAGAGCAGAGCAGAACGTCAGTACCTCGTCCCTATGGAAGAGGCAGCGGACACGCATCCTGTCCCATCTCGGAGTAATCGCTTGCCACAGCCAGCTGGGGTCTGGTCTCGAGCTAGAACTTCGCCTCCTCCCCAGACCCAGGGCCAGCTGGTGACGGTCGCTCCAGCCCACAGCCTCCTGTGTTTATCTAACTTCCCTGACCCCAGCGAGCGCTGTCGTTTTTTTCTTCCTTTCTCAAAAAACAAGACAAAATAGGAAGCAATTCCTTGAACTTATTAAAAAATCCAGACTTGTAAATTAATTTGTTCGTGTTGTACAAAGGCAGTGCAGATGGACTCATTAGCATGCACACAACAAATAATTATAGATGAATTTTTAGCTGGCCTGCCTAATGCGCTCGCTGGGTTAATTATGTCAATGTATAATTACATCAGCCCGGGGAGACATAATGGCGAACCCTGCTGAGCAGGCCCTGCCTAATGACGGGCGTGGGGGCGCTGCTGACAGAGGAGAGCACGCCACTCTCCAACGCACCTGCTCACCTCGGCCCAAGCACCACTGTCCCTCCGAAAGGCCACCTTGTTTCACCTGGACCTGAAGGCCCAGAATACAGGCACTACCCCATCTTCTTCCAGCAAAAATGCACTGGGAAGACTGTGTCGGACTTCGGTGCTGGGTGTGAGGGGTCTAGTAGGGAAGCAAAACCAGATGCAGCCCCGGCCCGCCCTTGCTGCGGAGTTTGTAGCCGAGTGGTGTTCATTAGGTGGCCTTGCAGGGAGACACAGATGTGACTGCAAAATGGTGTGGGTAGCTGGCAGAGCTCGTCTTGGGCTGACAAGGTTTAGGTGCTGTGTTGAGCACTTTACCTGGATCCTCATCACAATCCTGGGAGATTGCCACTTTCATGGTAAAGCACAGAGAGGTAGAGTCACTCTCCAGGGTCACACAGCAATGCCAAGAAGCAAGTATGGCTTAGAGCAGAGTGCAGACATGTCTGACTCCAAAGTCCATCCTCTTCATCCCTCTACTCCCCACCAGAGAGCAGTGGCCAGCAAATGCAAGGTGGCAGGAGATGTTGAGAAAGGCATCCAGAGAATTAGAAAGGAGCAGAGTGGACCCCAGGCCTTGTGGTCCAGGGCAGGGAGGCCCTGGCTTTCTGGGACCCCGTGAATACTGCCTGCAGCTGCTGGGACTGTAATTGGCACACACCAGGGCAGGAAGCCTTCGTGCCATCAGAGCAGGAGAGCCAGGGTCCTGTCGCCTCCGCGCCACCTGGCTTCCGTGAGCCTGCTTCCTCAGCCGTGAAAACAGGTTGGGTCCAATCCTGCCTCCAGGGAGCACTGTGAGGACCATGGGAACTGCTCCTGTAACTCAGGAGTCATCCAGGGAACATTTGTACCTGCCCTGGGTGGGGAGTTGGGGATGTCCTGGGGACACCCTGGGGCTGGGCTCAAAGTGGAAAGAAGAAAAAATGACACAGAGGTGCAGGCTGGGAGAGGGAGCTGAATTCCAGGCAGAGGAAGCCACATGTTCTTAACTTGTTATCAAAGGGGAAATTGGGAGACGCCTCACATGGAGGTGAAGATTTTGCTTCCAGGAAAGCTGCCATTTAATCACAAAGGATTGTAGCATCCAGGTCCCCTAGGAGGGAGGGAAGAAGCCAGGAGAGGTGGGAAGAGCCACAGGCCATGTGGCAAGTTTGACCCCTGGGGACGGAGAGGCAGGGGCTGGCTGCAGGGGAGGTCTCAAGTGGGAGTTGGCCACAGAGAAGTCCTGCCTTGGTTTCCCTGTGGCATCCAGGCATTGTCTGGGGAGGCCTGGAGGAGGCGCAGCCTCAGAGATGGTTTCAGAGAGTGGCAGCTCAGAATGGTTGGAGGTCTGTGGGGCACAGTCTCAAGGCCACCACCAATGGCACTGCCAAGTCAAGAAAATGTGTTATGATGATGACTGTTACTGCTGTCCTCCCCAGCTGGAGAGGACACTCACACCCTGGGAAGGCGCATGTGCCCCAGGCAGGGGCCCAAGAAGGCTGCTCTTTCGGAGCAGAAAGTCCGTGCTCTCCCTGAGCTGGCAGTGACTGCAGGTGGCACTTGTGGATGGTCCTCCAGCCCACGTGGAAGGATCCCCCAGGCCCCACAGCCTGAGCCCACACATCCCCATCCCATCCTCCCAGCTCTCTCCATCTCTGCAGACCCTGTGCCTGCGTTTGAGGTGGCACGCAGCCTAGACGACAGATTGCAGCACCCCGGCTTCGACCCCAGTGCACAGCCCCGGCGAGACATCCACAGCTTGTGGAAGAGGCACCCCGAGCTCCTCAGCCCCAAAGGTACCGATGAGACCTTCATAGGGCACCCCAGACTTTCATGGAGTGCTTTAACAAAACCTAAGGCTTCGGAGCTTCAAACTGGGCCACCCTTGAGGGCAGCAGGGAAGAGGGGCAGGGAGCTGGGCTTTATTATTTCCGGTGACAAACGTTGAGGCACCACTACTGCTGGGGCTACTGAAGGTTAGAGAGACTGCAGGAAGTGCTCTGTGCTGTCACTTTGGGTCCCAGGTTATGGAGGTCAGGCACTTCTACATGTAGTGCAACATAGCACTCTACGTGTAACGTCTAGTCACCATGAATGTTGATAGCCTACCAACAGGCAGAGGAAGAATGTGGAGGTCACTGCCAGGTGTGTGGGACTCAAGGCCCGGCACCAAGACATCCCCTCCACCTCCAACCCATTAGCCCAAACCAGGCCTGCAGCCACACCCAGCTACAAAGGAGGCTGGGAAATGTAGTTTTGCTGTGTTTTCAGGAGGAGAAGGGGTCGGATGGAGAAAACACAGAGGCAGGGGGAGACGAGTTGGAGCCTTAAGACTTTCTGAGCTGATGACAGATTCTAGGCAATATCCCATTTGACTTTCTGCCTCTAAAGATCTAGACCCAGAGCTTATGGTTGTGGGGGCTTAGAGGCCTGGAGTCCTAGTGCTGGTTTAGTGGGGAATATATGATTGTGCTTTTGAGCCTTGTAGCTCAGGACTCATTTTGAAGTAGGCTCTAGATGGCCAGTGGTGGAAGTCAGAGATTAATCCTCTCAGAGCGGGACTGGACAGCCCACAGAGGACCACGTGAGCCTCTCACGATGGCCCCCGGATGCTGCATCAGCCATCCACAAAGGGAGGCAGAGGTGGGAGTGGGACCTCAGGGCCGCCCTCTGAAAGGCAGGCCTGGATCCCACCCAGGGCTGTTTCCACACACAGGAAGGGTGGGCAGGCCGCTGCCAAGGAGGCAGACTCCCCAGGGCTGAGCCAGGCCTGCCCAGCTCTCCCCCGCCCCGCCCGTCAGAGAAGTTCCTGGTCCCACCAACAGAAAGCAACGAAAAGGCACAAGCAGACATTTCTCCTACAGATCGACACAGGAAGAGATGGGGACCTTGTCAGTGGTCCACACAACGCGGCCAGGGCAGGTCCTCACTCAGTCATGGCCACCAGTTATTGAGTCTGATGGCGCCATGGGTCACCAAGGTCATGGGGTAACAGGACTCTAAGCAACTGCCACCAGATTCTGCTCTAGAAATCACTCTTCAGTAAGGCTGCAGATGGGTGCACCTAGGATCCAGCACATTGACTCCTTGGTGCATATCCTGGAGACACACTGCACCCAGAGAATGGGGCGAGAGGGGTTCTGGCCTCTGGCTTTGGAATAGTGCAGATGGGCACAACCAGATGTCCAGTCACAGAGACTGAGTCACTCACTGCATCCCAGACAGCCATCGGAGTGGAAGAACAATATGACAGCTACACTGCACGTCACAGAAGGACCTGCAGGACCTACAGAGGACCACGTGGACCACAGTACTCTTTCTGTAACAGCCACTCAACTACAGCAAAGCTAAAAGTAGCATTTAGATGGACACTTGTTGCTGTTTTTGTGCTGTTTTTTGTTTTTTGTTTTTGGTGGTGGTGGTGCTAGGAACCCAGGACCTCACACATGCTAGGCAAGTGCTCCACCGCTGAGCCACATCCCCAGCCCTTCTTATGTTTTATTTTGAGACAGGATCTTGCTAAGTTAATCGAGCTGGCTTTGGACTTGTGATCCTCCTGCCTCAGCCTCTCAAGTAACTGGGATTACAGGTGTGTGCCACTGTGCCCAGCATAGTGATAGAAATTTTTGAAAACAAGGGAATGATGAACAAATCCAACCTGGGGCTCACCTTGGGTGGGTGAGGCAGAGGGGGTTGAGGTGGGGAGCAGTATTCCAGAAGGCCCTTGTGACTACCGCATTGCTGGCTGTTTAGGGGCTACACACCAGGCACCGTTCTGCCCTCCTGAGTACCATACCTTGCAAGGTCGTGCTGAGTAAGGGAGGTGACCCAACAGCTCAAGTAATCCATGATTCCATTGATAAGAAATGTCCAGAACAGGCAAATCCATAGAGACAGAAAGCAGGTTGGTGGTCACCAGGGTCTGGGGAGAGAAAAATGAACAGTTATTTAAGCCAGGAATAGTGGTACACACTTGTAATTCCAGCTACTCAGGAGACTGAGGCAGGAGGATCATAAGTTCAAGGCCAACCTGGACAACTTAGCAAGATCCTGCCTCAAAATAAAAATTTTAAAGGGCTGGGGATGTAGCTCAGTGGAGCCTAGCATATGCAGGGCTCTGGGTTCCATTTCCAGTACCACAAAACAACAACAGAAAAGTTGGGTGTGGTGGTGCATGCCTGTGAGACCAGCACTCAGGAGGCTGAGGCAGGAGGATCACTGTGAGTTCAAGGCCAATCACTATGGAGTAAGTTCAAGTCCAGTCCCAACTACATAGTAAGGCCCTGTCTCAAAACACCAAAAGAAAAAAGAAAAAAAAGCTTAATAGAGATAGAGCAGTGTCAATGGTCTAAAATTAGCAGTGATGATTACACAATATCGTGTGTATACTGAATGTCACTTTTAAATGGTGAATTTTATGTATATTTTACCACAATTTTATACAAATAATCAAGAAGGCCAAGGAGACTCAAGTGGATGGAGAAAGCTCCACTGGGTGCTGTCCAAGCCTGGCGTGGGAATGCGACCCACGCATGTGCCAGCCTCTGGCCAGTGCATCCCAACACCTGCTTTACTCCAGTGCCTGAGTTTGGGAGATTGATACTAACCCATCAACAGCTCCGGTTTGTAGAAACCTCTCACCTGTCACATTGCACTTGGCAATGGGTGTTTCTCTCTTTCTCTCTCTGCAGAGCAGAAAGAAGGGCCGTCCCCCACCGGGCCCACGCTGACCGAGGGGACCCGCCTCCCGGGTGGTGCCGGGAAAGCCCTCCTGACCGAAACCTTGCTGCAGAGAAATGAGGCCGAGAAACAAAAGTGAGAAGGATGGGCGGGCCTGGCCGGGAGTCGGGGAGTCGGGGAGTCCAGGTCCCCTGCAGCTGCAGGAGGGAGGGGATGGTGAGGGCTTTGCAGTCCAGCAGGCCCAGACTGGAGCCTCCCTACAGGGGCTCAGTGGCTGGCTCTGGGGAACTCACATCATCCCCCTGAGCCTCAGTTTCCCCATCTGGAAAATTTTTAAAAAGGGATAATAGTGGTATATTAGCATCTCCAGAGAAGCAGAGCTAGTAGGATTTTTTAAAAACTTTTTTTAATGAAGTATTTTGAAGACTTCAGTAACTCAGTCAAATCTGAAATTGGTGAATCCAACAGGCACTGCCAGGAAACATAGATGCTGCAGTCTTTTCCCAGTTTGGTCCTAAGACCTTCAACTGAGTGGTTGAGGTTCCCCCACACTATCCGAGGCCTTTACGTAAAGCCAGCCGAGCATCCGCAGTAGGCGCAACTGCAGGATGACTGCACGGGCCCCTGAGTGTGTGGCAGAGTAACTGGCGGCACTGCCCTAGCAGAGTAGACACATAACACTGACTGTCCCCATGGCCTTCACTCCTGGTCTGCTGCAGAAACGAAATGAGCCAGGTGTAGTAGGGCACGCATGTAATCCCAGCATTTGAGAGGCTGAGGCACGGGGATCACCATGAGTTTGAGGCCAGCCTGGGCTACATAGTGAGTCAAGGCCAGCCTGACCTGCATAGCGAGACCCTGTCTCAAAAAACAAAGAAAATCATGAAGTGAGATGGGTCTGAGGAGTGGAGGGTGATGGTAATGGTGCAGTAGGAGTCACTTCCGGGGGCTGGCCTGTGCCATGGTGGTCTCTGCCTCTTTCCTATCACTCAGTCGGTCCTCACTCTGTGTCCCCTTTTCTCTGCTGAGAGGCTTGGGCCATACTGCGCTGGCTAAGTATCCAAGTTCCTGCTACAAACTGGACAGGGATGCACCCTTGTTGAGAATCAGTTGTCATATCTGCTTGGGTTTGTTTCTGGGCTCTCAATTCCATTCCTTTGGAACTGAGACTAGGACAGGAACGGTAACTAGTGACATGGAAGAAAGAACACCCGTGCTTCACCACACCCTCCCAGGCAGAGCCTGCCGGAAACCCCATTTCACAGGTGAGAAAACTGAGGCCCAGAGAGGCAAGGCCTCTTGGTGCTAGAAATTTTTGCTTCCACAATTCCTGACAGAAACTTACCAGGGCCAGCCATGATGGGGCCACACAGACAGCAGGACAGTCAGGGCCCCCTAAAGACAGGCGCAGTCACAGGGGGCAGGTGAGGGCAGAGGACGCCAAGCTGGGCCAACCCCATCTCTCCACAGGGGCCTCCAAGAAGTACAGATCACTCTGGCAGCCAGACTGGGGGAGGCAGAGGAGAAAATCAAGGTGCTACATTCAGGTACTTGTGTGGAACACTGGGACACAGTGGGTTGCTGAGGTCAGGGGTTGCAGAATGAGAAGGCTGAAAAGGGAGTGAGCGGAGGGAGGGCAGGGGCCTTGCCAGGGAGTCCCAGCCTCCATCCCCAGAGGCCACTGCACTAGGATGGAAGGGGGCAGCTCGGAAGAGGGCAGCTCGTGCAGTGCCCGCCAGGGACCAGCAGGGCAGCCAGGAGAGGGACAGCAGCAGGGAGGGGAGAGGGCGGGCATCTGGCAGAACCAGCAGGAGTCACTGTGTGGCCCCATGTGCCCCGATCCTCTGATGACAGCTGGCGTTGTGCAGACTGCTCAGTCGTGGGACATCTGTGAGCCTGGGCTGTTGCTCCGCCCTGTCCCCTTGCCTGCCAGGTCAGAGCCTCAGCGGGCCCACCCAGGCCCTGGAGTGACACGAGGTGCTGGGGGCTGAGACCCCAGGCCAGGGGACAGGAACCCCCGCCCCTGCTCTGGTCGGGCCCAGTCCCTGAGCTTCTTAGACTCAAGAGATGCTCCTGCCCTGCCCCCCCGTCGCTCCCACCCTCGAGCACCTCTAGGGCAGGACTCCCAGGACCTCCACCAGCCCCGAGCCCGAGGTCTCCCTTGCTCCCTCAGTCTCCACCGTCAGGCCCACAGCGGGGTGTCACTCCCAGGGAGGCTCAGCCCCTTCCCACCATGGGGTGGGGGCCTCATCTGGCTTCTTACTTCCAGCGTTAAAGACCACGCAGACCGAGCTAATAGAGCTGCGGCGGAAATACGATGAGGAGGCGGCATCCAAGTAAGTGAGCGTCCTGCAGGGTGCGCCTCCTCCCTCCCTTCCTCCACTCAGGCCTCCTCTCCTCACGCTGAATCTCTGCCTGAGCCCCCGTTTCACTAAGCAGCTCTGCTCCCCACCCACCAGGCACACAGCTGTGCCGCTCTGCTGTGCCCTCCACCGGGATGTGGGGCCGGCAGGCCGGGAGTGCCCCTCCACCACCGCCTGGGGCCAAGTAATGCCACTTAAATTACTCTAAGCTCTTAAGATGTCACTCCTTCCGTAAACATTTATTGGGCACCTGCTGTTTACCCAGTGCTGTGCTGGGCCCCTGGGAGAAACACAAGAATGTGACTCTGTCCCCAGTCAGAGGGGACAAGCAATAACTGATAGAGGGGCTCTTGGTCATCAGACGTTAGTGAGCACTTGCTGATTGCTCAGCACTGTTCTCCGCACCCAGTGAATGCCACACAGGGAAGAACTGGGGCAGACAGGGGATAAGGAGGAGGGCCCTTATCCAGAGTGGGTCCCCCGGGTGGGTGGATGAGGACCGAGTGAGGACTGCTGTGCCCAGAGAGGCCCTGAGCATGTGCGTGGGGTGTGTGGCCCAGGTGGGCAGAGGGGAGGCCTGGTCTGCACACTGACTGCAAGCTGTCTGGAGGGCTGTGGGTACCATGAGGGGTAGTTGAGGGGGACACCTGGGAGCTGGGCTGTTCTCTAAAGGAAGGGCACTGGTGGGAGGCATGGCGGGGCAGAGGCCCGGGGATCGCCCTAGAGCAGAGTCCTTCCAGCAGCAGGAGGCCAGGCTGCTTCTGGTATGAATACAGAGCCGAGGCCCGCAGCCGGGTTTCTGTCTGGTAGGAAGCGTGGAAGGCAGGCTCGTTGGCAGCCCCATTGTGAGTGAGACTGGGGTTCAGACAGAGGCTGGGTGTCAGGGTCAGGGGGCCTGCTGGCTGCCAGAAGCCCCCTCAGGGCCTCATCTCTGTGTCTCAGGGCAGATGAAGTCGGCTTGATCATGACGAACCTGGAGAAAGCTAACCAGGTGAGGGGCTTCTGCCGGGTGCGGGTGGCAGGTGCCCAGGGGGAAGGGGACCTGTGTGCCATGTGTCTTTGAGTGCTGCTCCCAGGCAAGACTGCGTGGGGTGGAGAACGCAGACAGACCCTGAAACACCAGGGTGGGGTGGGGACCACAGGGAGGCAGAAAGCTGTCCTCAGAGAAGAGACGCAGAGCAGAGGCTGGGAGAATAAACCAGCGACTGTAGAGGGAGGGAGTCCAGGCGAAGGGAATAGCCAGCAGCCCTACCTGGTGCTCCCTGGGGTCTCCTGACCGAAGGAAGAGGGGTTACAGCAGAAACCCTGAGATACCAGCCCACGAGGGCAGGTCCCCAGGCTGAGCTGTGACACAGGAATCTCTAGCCAGACTGATGGAGCCAGGCGTGGGGGCAGAAGGCTCCCCTGCCCCGTCCAGATCCCCTTGGCCTCCATCCCCCTCGGTCCATCCCAGCCATTGGGAGCAGGGTGTACACCTGCCGCCCGCCCTCAGTCCCTGTCCACAAGACAGCCTGGTCCCGAGTCCTCTGCCTCCTCCAGTTTCAGGCGTTGGCAAGTGAGGGGCAGAGTCTGGAAGGACTTTGAAGGGAGCCAGCTGTGGCCATGGAGATCCAGTTTGGAGTCTCGTGTGCCCTCCACATCTGTCCTCAGCTCCCCGAAAATCCAGCAGCTGGGGGCATGGCCAAGCACAACCAGCAAGGTCTCAGGCTGGGCCTATTTGCCTGGTGTCACTTTCCTGGGGGTCATTGAGGGAGGCCTCTTGGAAGAGGACCCTTTGGGGCTGAGGTGAAGGATCCATGCTCCGTTCCCTTGAGGAAGGGAGTCCAGGCAGAGGCACAGCAGCCACAAAGCATAGGGGTGAACCCTGCTGCAGAGAAGACTCAGATAGGAAGGTTGATTGCAGCCAGGCTTGGTGGCGCACACCTGTAATCCCAGCACTTGGGAGGCTGGGGCAGGAGGATCACTGAGTTCCAGGCCAGCCTGAGCTACATAGTGAGTTCAAGGCCAGCCTGGACCACATAGTGAGACCCTGTCTCAAGGGGAAAAAAAGATTGATTCTAAGTCCTTGCCCCCACGGGAAACCACCAGAAGATTTCTGCTCTCAGGGTAGGATGTCCCGCTGGGCCCTGGGCTGGGCTGGTGCTGCTGCAGTCCAGTGGACCCCTCCCTGCCCCAACCCAAGAAGCATGGGCCAAGTGGAAGTGGTGGTGATATCCATAGTGGTGTCCCCGGGCTTTGCTCCTATGTTTTGAAACAACCATTAAATCGGTCCCATTTTTTAGGAGTTAAATGTACTTTTAATTCAATTTTTTAAATATGTAAGTGATTTACATAGTTCAAAACTCAAGAAAGGTACACAAAGGACCCTAGGAAACTCTGTGTCTCTCCCTTGCCTCACAGCTACCTCTCTGCTTTCTGAGATCTCCCTCCAGGTGGGCAACCCGTTCACAAGCCCACTTTAACCTCTGGCTTTCTTTTCTTTTCTTTTCCTTTCTTTTTTCTTTTCTTTTATTTCTTTTATTTTATTTTATTTTGAGACAGGGTCTCACTGTGTAGCCCAGGCTGGCCTCAAACTCATGGCAATCCTCCTGCCTCAGCCTCCCAAGTGCTGGGATTACAGGCGTGCACCACCACACCGGGCTCATTTTAACTTCTTTCTCCTCCTCCTCCTCCCCCTCCTCTTCCTCTTCCTCCTCTTTCTTTTTTCTTTCTTCTCCCACTACCCCCTATCTTCTTCCTCTCTCCTTCTTCCTCTCCCTCTCCTCCTGTCCCCTGCTTCCTCCTCCTCCCTTCTTTGTCCTCTTTCCACACTGCTGAGGATTGCACCCAGGGCCTTCTCAATAAGCTGCACCCCTAGCCCTTTTTATTTTTTATTTTGAGACATGGCCTCACTAAGTCACTAAAAGTTGCAATTCTCCTGCCCTCGCTGGGATTACAAGTGTGGGTCATCATGCCAGCTTTAACCTCCTTAAAGCAAAGATGATAATACGCTCTACCCACCATCCTGAACCTTACTTCTCCACGTGTGTATCCTGTGGCTCCCTCGAGTCGAATCAGCATAGAACCCAGTCCCTCCCTCTGATCTCTGACTATACAGTGTGCATTGTGTGGCTGCACTGCCATCCATCCCAGGGGATGCCAAACCTTCTGGAACGTGTTAGAGAGTAATTATCTTCAGCTTTGCGAGCCCCAGGGTGTCTGTCACAGTCACCTTCACCATTACAGCATGAAAGCTTAGACCACATGTACCCAAAAAAAAGGTAAGCTGGACATGGTGGAGCATGCCTGAAATCCCAGCACTCTGGAGGCTGAGACAGGAATTCAAGGCCAGCCTGGGCTACATAGTGAGTTCAAGGCCAGCCTGAACTACAGAGCAAGACCCTGTCTCAAAAAACAAAAAGAGGGAAAAAAAAATTTTTAATTAAAAAAAAAAAGAGAGAAAGGGCTGGGGATGTAGCTCAGCAGCCCCACACCTGCCTGGCAAGCACAAGGTCCTGAGTTTGATCCCGTATATAAGAGTAGGGTGGTGGGGGGAGAACAGAAGCAAAGACCACATGTAAATGAACAAGATGGCCAAGTGCCAATTAAACTTTATTTATAGCTACAGTCCTCCGCTCTACCAACAGAGCTATCAAAGGGACAAAACTTTATGTATAAGAATGAGCAGCAGGTTGTAGCTCACTGATCACTGGTGTCACGGTTGCCTGTTGATGAACACTTATGATATTTCTAATCTTTTCCTGTCACAGTCAATACTTCCATAAATAACCTTGTACAGATACCATTTCATACATCCACAAGCTAATTTGTAGGGTAAATCCTCAAAGTGGAATTGCTTCGCAAAGGGTCTGTATGTTTGTGACTTGGCAGATGTAGACAAATTGCCCTTCATGAGACTGCACCAATTTCCCTCCCTTCAGTGGGTATTAGAAGGTCCATTGCCCAAGGACTGCACCAGGGCCACATGTCCTCAAACATTCACATCTTTGCCAACCAGATAGGGTCTTTAAAAAGATCTTAGGGCCAGGGATTTAGCTCAGTGGTTTTGCCACCTGCTGTACAAGTGTAGGGACCCGAGTTCGATCCCTGGTACCAAAAAAAAAAGGGATCTTAGAGCCAGATGTGCTTGTACATACCTGTAATCCCAGCACTCAGGAGGCTGAGGCAGGAGAATCACCCCAAATTCAATTCCAGCCTGGGCTACATAGTGAGTTCAAGGGCAGCCTGAACTATATAACAAGACCCTGTCTCAAAAAAACCTTAGAGTAGTTTGAATAGGAAACAGTTTTAATAATGTTTCTCTGCTGATGATTTAGCTCAGTGGTTCCGGTGCCTGCCTCACAAGTGCAAGGTCCCGAGTTTGATCCCTGATACCAAAAAATAATAATAATAATAATGTTTTTTCTTTTCTTGTTTTTTGGAGGGGGGTATCAGGAATCTAACTCGGCACCTTGCACTTGCGAGGCAGGCACCGGAACCACTGAGCTAAATCCCCGGCCCAATAATGTTCCTTTTTTCTTTCCTTTTTTTTGATCTTTTTTTTTCTTTTTTGTTTTGAGACAGGGTCTCACTGTATAGTTCAGGTTAGCCTTGAACTCACTGTGTAGTCCAGGTTGGCCTCAAACTCAGTGATCCTCCTGCCTCAGCCTCCCCAGTGCTGGGATTACAGGCATGCACCACCACACTTGGCTCTTGTTTCTGAATATAAAACTAAAAACCTGCTCATTGATAAGCATAAAGAAGAAAATAAATGTCACCATATTAGGTTTTCAGTATCTGTAGTTATTGATGCCATCCCAAGTGTCACCACAGGGACTGTGGACACAGAGCATCCCCAGCATCACTGACACAGAGTCACCGTGCCCAGTTCCCATCCTGACCACATGAGGAGCCAGTGTTATCCAAGGTGTACTGGAGTTGGTACCCTAAGCAAGGAGCCCCAGAGGCGAAGCTGAAAGTTACACTGGAGAGACATCTTCTGCCAGAACAAGGAAAAGAGCCTTTCTCCCCAGTATCACAGGGCATGGGGCAAGGACCCTGAGTTCTAGCTTTGGACTGTAAATGCATGTCTCCGGGGAAGATAAGACTCCAGCTTTAGACCCCAGCTCAACAAGCCAGGGGAAGTGGCTGTCTCCAGACCTGGCCTCCTCCCCTCTTGGGGTGTAGAGCTGTCTCCCTCAGGAAGGGGGAGCACTCTGGAGTCCTCACTGACTAATCAACCTGGAGTTTGCATCCAGCCTCATCATTGCTTTCCCCCCTCCTCCTCC